GACAGAAATAATCTGCCACATCTTCAGGCTCTAGACTATTGATCTTGAGAGAAAACTGTGTGCCAGATTTACTGCCACTGAACCTCAATGGCACCCCATTTGCCAAGCGATTTCCAGCATAGATCAGTTGCTTAGGAGATTTCCCTGGTTTCTGATGATGCCATGCTAAACCCCAGCCAAAGTCCTCACTTGCCAGGAATGTGATGGTGACACTGTCTCCCAGAGATGCAGATAGAGAGGTTGGAGACTGGGCCATCTGGATGTCACATCTGGCACCTGAGATTGAAAAATTGAAAACAAATTAATTCTGTTAGAAGAGGACTTTGCCAGAGACCAGGCAGCACTGACCACTGACAGCTGAAAAAATTTCCAATGGTGTTTTCCTTACCTGTAAGACAGAGCAGCAGCAAACCCAGAAGCTGAGTGGGGGCCCTCATGTCTGTGCTGTGACCTGTGTGAGTCTGACACCAGCACAGGGTGTGACCTGACTATGAAGACCTCAGGGCGGTGGGGTGTGAGCACATTCAAATCAGCAGTGACTGAGCACAGCCCCAGGATCAGTCAAGTGACACATTGTAGACCTGTGGTCCTCCTCTGTCCCAGATCAGAGAGGCAATACAGGTTTATTTGCAGCAATGTGCTCCTCTTTGAACAACAAGAACAGCACCTGTCTATGAGTTCCACCTTATTTTGATTTCTGTCATTTTCAATGTGGAATCTCATATTATGTTTTCTACCATGACAGGCACTGTCAGATGTGGTACCATTCTAGAAAGCACACAAACAGTTATATTTATTTTCCTAGGTAGGTGCAGATGTTATTGACGCTGTACAGTTCTTCCATTTTCACCCTGTTTATTTGTTAGATTGTAATTTCATTACAATGTTTCTCTCATTTGCTCTTTCTACACCCTCTGAAATATTCCTCCCCACTTGTATTCAAATTTCTGGCCTCTTCTTCCATTGATCATGCATGAGTATATATATATATATATATATATATATATATATATGTATTTGGAGATACATATATATTTCTAAACATAAACTATTTTGTTTATATAATGTATTACTTGTATGTATGTCTTTAGGAATGACCATTTTAGCCTGTAAAATCAGTGTGCTCTTCTGAGTACCTCTACCCTTCCCAGCTTCACCTAGTTGTCTATTGTACTTTGTGTAGAACTAAGGCTTTGTGCCCTTTCCCTTGACCTGTTCACATGTTTGCTTGTATCCTCATTATTCAGCTACCATTTGTTCAGTAATGTTGGTGAGCCTTTACAGGTAGAGCTTCTGATGTTACTAGGAGACACAATTTCACAGTAAATTCCCTGAACCTTTGTCTGTCACAATCTTTCCACTACCTTTCCAAAATGTTCCCTGAGCCTTAGTTATGGGAACATTTTGTACCTGTGTCCATTAGGTCTGGGCTCCAAAATGCACTATATTGCTTCTTGCTCATGTTGTGTCACAGAAGAATAATAGAATAATACTGAGACACATGACTTTTAGGGAATGACAGGATCTCACATAACTAAACCAGCTTTTCAGATAAACAATCTTGTCTTATTATATTTTCCATAGATCAATAAATTCAATCAATACTTCCATTAAGGACAAATGAGTTCTTGGGTTTTTTCCCCTTCCATAGGGAGATATGAGTGCCCTTTTAAATTATGCTGGGATTGTATCTGTGTCCTATGTTCTTTTGAGTCTTCATATTATAGCACAAGATCCACTTTAAACACAGGTTATTATCTTTAAGGAATGAGTTTTCTCTCTGAAGTAATCATATCCTTTAATACAGTGTTTCCTAAACTTGCATATGCTATGGGCATCATATCTATTCAAGATACTAAAAGAATATATATGAGTTTAGTTTGGATAAGAGGGGCACAAGATGTGTGGTGAGAGAAATAAGAGGAAAAGTTAAAATAGAAGCTAAACATGGGGAGTTACATACACAGTGGGGTCTAGAGCCTGTGCTCATTGAGAGTAAAGATGTGGTGGACATAGTATGAGTTTCTGTGAGGTGTTTAATGGAAAGAAATTTACATGTGCAGGCAAACACTCTGTAGGAAACAGTGATAGGGGAGGGTGAGAAAGACATCCACTCAGGGAATGGGAATGATGGTGGTCCCAGGAAAAGTGCCAGAATGAACAGTTAGGTGAATTTGCTAAGAAATGGCTGACCTGCAAATCAAAGGTGGCTTTGACATTTGTGATCATCGAGTTTGTGTTGAGGGACATAACAAAGTATCTGCAACACAGATAAAATTATGTTCCCTGACATAATTCTATGCATTTACATGAATATGTCTCATGTACTGACACCATATAAATATGTTTTGATTAAACACTAAAAATATTTTCACAGAGTTCAACAAAATGGCAATATATTTCACAATTGACAGCAACTGTCTTTAAAAGTACAGTTGATATGAAATCCTTTTCATATGAATATTACACTGGACATTACTAAAAATTTAAATTTTTTAATGTACATGACAGATTTCCCTGCATGTATAACACATGGGTGTCTGAAGCTGGACAGAACAGGGTGTCAGATCTGATGGAACTGATCAGGTTTCAAGGCACCATGCCTTTAGGCACTGGAAATTGAACCAGGGTCATCTGTGAGAACAAGATGTTCCCTTAACTGCTGAGTCATCATTTTAAATAGTCCCTGAAAATTATCATTTCAGTTGACTTATGGCCTTTTTTAAAACATATAATCCCAATTATGATTTTACCCTCTACATTATCTGTCCTTATATCTCTCTCAAATCACATACTGTCACATTTTCTGATGCATTTCATAAAATCATGACACAGAACATCCACACACAGTGATTATATGGAGCTTATTTGATCTCTACAGACATTGTTACTCATGTACCAGATGAGGAAAGCAGATGATGGAAGACAGTCAGTGTGTGCTGCACCTGCCCCACACCTGACTCACACAAAAGCCCAGCTTCTGTCTTATTAGCTGGGAAGAATTTACAAGGAACACGTGTTTTGTTGTTGGATTGACACATTATTGGGCCTCTATCAGCTGGCTTCCTCTACTTTTACCTCCTTCATGAAGCTGCATTCTCAGAAAATTTTACAGGTGTATTGGACATAAGATAATACAATGGAGAGAACTTGGTCAGTCCCTGATCATCATAAATCAGTCTATTTAACACTCCTCTGGAAGTCCATTTTCCAGCACAATCCATTGTCTTGCACTGTGGTCCATATATGATCTATTTCTTGGACTTCTGGTTAAACCACCATAGCACCCATAATGTATTATCTATAGAAGTGTGTAAAATCATGAGATTACTCAGAAGAAAAACATATTGTCAATAATAGGGCTTGCCTAGTTCTGATATTATGGGCTAGTTCCCTGCAGTGTGGCCTATGTATTGACAACTGAAGGGCACCAGGAAACCACACATTAAGGTGCTACTCATTTAGTGTTGAGAATGTACATGCCCTCAGATCCTTCCAAGAACCGTATCAAGAGGCTTTGGAGAACATTGATCTTACTTATCAGGAAGATCATTGTTCAGGGCTAGAGTCCTGGGACAGGTTTTGTAACTCTGGAACATAGGAATTCTCAGGATCTCCAGTTTCCACTGATGAACAGTTAGTGTGAAATGTACCTAAACCACTCTCACAGAAGTGGACAGGGACTAGGGGAAATTGCTGGATGACAAGTGAGTAAGAAATTAGAAACCTCGTTTGTCCCTAGTGTTACAGTGATTGACAGTCCAAGGGTGGGTGATTTTGACTGGATAGACATGTATTATTGCCTCTCTCTCCTGCAGAAATTGTTAAAATGAGGCTAGAAGTAGGTCTTTGTTTAAGTGCAGTCTAGAAAAAACGTGGACAAGGATTGACAAATTGCAATGGACTCAGAAAAAGGTAGTAAACCTAAGGTGGTATTGTTTCTGCCTGAGGATGAAAAGAAGCATTAGGAAGAATTTTGTGAAGGCTATTACACATAATTATGTGCAGAGCACATTCTTACACATTCCAATTCTTGCTACTAAGAAGTATGAAAATATTGTGCTGGGATGTAGCTTAATTGGTGGAGTTCTTACCTAGTATGAAAACAAAAGCAAAAACAACAACAAACCACTGGATTAGAGCCCCAGCATTGCATGAACAGGGTCTGGTAGTGCACTCCTGTAGCCAAAGCTCATGGGAGTGGAAAACAAGGCTGCTAAAACTTCAAATCCATCTTCCTTCACACTTTTGAGGTCAGTCACAGCTAGATGAGAATAGGAATTTATCAGGAAAAAAAACCTTAATTTTAAAATCAGCTCCAAAATATTGATATATGATTAAACATAGTTGTAAAAGTTAATGGAGTAAAAAGCATAGTATTTCCTATGCAAACATTCAATCTACATTTAAGTTACATCAGATCATATCATATAGATTGGAAATACTAGTAGCAATGAATACATTCAACATAAATATTCTTTGGAATATCCTAAGTGTATTTATATTTGGCAAAATTGTGGCAAGGCCAGCCAATATATGCCCTTCCATAATTCTATAATAAATTGTAGACAGTGTATTGAAGCTTAATAAATAAGATAGGATGAGGGGTTTCCTCATTCATCACATGGATAGCTGGGTGTTGTTGCTGTTACAGCTCCTACACCTCAGGATCAAGCATAAACACTGGTGTCACAATCCACAGTGCAGAAGAGGTAAACTATTTAAATCTGAAAGAAGGCTTGTATTGAATATACAATGCCTTAAGGTAAAAATTTAAAAGTGATCCAGTTGAATTATTGTATGTAGACACAATTGTGGGCTTCTGTCTGTGAGCATATGTTTGTATGTGTGTACCTACAATCTCTAAAATTTAAAGTCTACATTATACACAAAGTTCTCAAGCTATATTTTTGGTAGTAGAATGAATGAAGACCCATTGCCATAATTTGAAATTTTTACAAGTTTCTTATATTAGGCCTTATTTGTTAATCACACCCATTTCCACAGTGCTTCACACTCTACAAATAGTCAGAAAGATACTATCATCAGTATTTCCTTCACCATGAAGAGATGATAGAGAACTATGAGTTCAGTGTTAGTTCTTCCCACTTGAGACCAAGCCATAAACCATTCTCTGATGAAGGAATTCTCTGGGGGACAGCAGTTGGTTAGCCCTACATTGGAAACAGTTATAAAAATGTGACTCGCACAGCCCTGCAAATATTCTCAAAAGCCCAATGACATCCTCTCCAGAGTCAATTCCCAGTCCAGGAAATTTAAACCACAGCTCTAAAATAGTTCTCTGTACAGAATACAAAAAAGATGGGTCTCTGGTTATCTCATCCCACTATCTCCATTTATATAGTTTCCTCTTTTTTGCCAGGAGAAGTGTCTTAATGCCCTTGAGTGAAATTTGACCCTGCTTCTATCGCAGAAATATTTGGAGATTTTTGTCACAACTCAGTCAAAATCTTGACCATGTGTTATCTTCTAAGAGGGAAGCAGTGGTGTCTGAGAAGACCAAAGTGGTTTTTGTTCTGCTTTGTAGAACTGTGTGAATGGTTCACTGCTCTTCTGCTGACAGTAGTAAGTGGCAGCATCTTCAGCCTCCATGCTGCTGATTGTGAGAGAGTAAGAGGTCCCAGACCCACTGCCACTGAAGCGAGCTGGGACTCCAGAAGCCAGGTTGGATGTTCCATGAACAAGGAGTGTAGGGGAGGCTCCTGGCTTTTGCTGGTACCAGTGGAAGTAATTGGAACTTGCACTTGAGCTGGCTCTGCAGGTAATAGTGACCTTCTCCCCTGGTGAGGTGGTCATGGATATTGGAGACTGAGTGAGGATAATTTCACCATCTGATACTATGGAGAGAAAGATGAAAATAGATAGACAATATTATTAACAGGATTCCAGAATACCTTAATTTTACACAGTATGCAAAAAGAGAAAGATGAAGACAAAGAAGTAGAGGAGGCAGAGGATAAAGAAAGTAAAGAAGCAAGGAAGGAAGGAAGGGAGGAAGGAAGGAAGGAAGGAAGGAAGGAAGGAAGGAAGGAAGGAAGGAAGGAAAATATTTCCATTTAAATTAAAACTTCCACAATGGAAATGATGTTATGTTCCAGTTGGAGATCCCCTTCTTTCTCACCCACTACACTGAGTAGCAGCAAGTTGACAGTTTTCACCAGCAAACCCATCTTGTTGTCTGGTCTCTGTCTACAAACTTCTCTTGTCTAAGTTAGTTCTCTTAAAAGCAAGTCTGAGCCATCTGTGGTTTCTGAGGAGTAGATATGCAAACAGCAGGGTATATGCTATGACAGTCTTTGCTCATAAACACAGGAGTCCTTTCACTTACTTGTAGTATTTAAGTTGAGAAATACCAAAGCTCTCAGGGTTTTAATTTTTTATGTGTCTTAATTTCTTTTGTTTGTTTTCTCTACAATGTCCTATAACCCTAGTCCATTGTATTCCTCACATGTTTTCTTGTAGCTAGGTTTAGTTTGATCTATCTAGAATGATAAGTGTTGTTCTTCAGTGTGTGGGATTTATTTTTTTCCAAGATAAAGCTCAACTGACGATGACTGGAATGTAAATTGGAAAATCTGAGGCCCCAGATCTGCATCTGCCTCCTACTTTTACTGGCACCCGCTCAGCTAAGGCTTTACTCATGCATCCTAGTCTAATCAAATGACTCTTAGCTCACAATTCCCTGGGAAGGCCACTGTGCCAGTGTGTGATCAGGAAATCATGTATTTTCAGGAGTATTTCCACAGAAGAAAGCATATATTGATTTTGTAGCAGCTATCATGAATCCAAACTCTGTTTTCTGCTGCTTTTAAGAAAACTGTGAGCCTCTGATCCTCCTGAACCAGGGTTGTAATAAACAGGATTGGTATTCTGGGACAAGCTTTTCAGGGTCCTCAGCTTCAGAGGATGTGTCAATGAAATGTGCTTGGATCAATAACACACAAGGGCTCAACAGCCTGGAGGCATTGTGGATGCTAAGTGAATCAAGAACCTGGAAACCTCTTTAATTCAAAGTATTACCTTGGCTGTCAGCACTAAGGCTGGAGTTGACTTGATACTGTGTTACTATTGCCCTCTGCTGGAGAGGTGGGAAATAGGACAAGTGGGATCCTAGAGGAAAAATTACAAAGATTATAATCACTGCAAATCCAATGTTATTTGGAAAGGGGTGAGTGAAGAGAAGGAACTCATGATAAGCCAAACCCTGGAGAGTTCCTCACAATGACTGATGGAAGAAAAATGAATAATGCTGCAAATACAGTCAGATACACATGTATAAACACATAAACTTTCATCCAATTCTTGCTAAGAAGAAATAAGGAAATATTGATAAGAAGGCATTAAACATAGGTGTAGAAACATGTTCCCTCTGCTGGGTTTCTGCTTTATAATTGGATGGAGGTGGAAAATATCCTGAACAATGGCCTGAAGGTAAAACAGATATGAACACTCACAACTTGATATTACATACAAGCTTTGTAACAAGTGAAGATCATTGCTTTTAGCATATAACACATATGACACATAGTCACTTCCTTTGCTGATATTTTATAACACCAATTAAATGTTATTTTTGCAAGTGTTTTAGAATTTTACTTGGTAGGTAACATACCACATACAATAACTACTCACTTAATATTCTCCTCAAGACAGTCACTGAGTGTTTGAGAACTGACTGAGATCTAGTGATGGTAGTATCTGCAGGATATGATCTGTTCATTACAGTGGAGGGGACTGAAATAATGTAAGAGCCAGATGGCTGGCAGCAGGAGGAGTGCTGTGATAAGCTGTCCTCTAGATGTGACATGGCTGCTGCACTTAGGACCTCACAGCAGCTGTGATGCCTGGATGTTATCTGTACAAGACCAGTACAACAAGACCTGCCAACATTCCAGCAATGAGCACTAAGTGACACAGTGGCTGGGCAGATGAGAGGACATGAAGGGTGTAGAGACTGGTGGTGTATGTCTGAAGGCTGTGAATATAATGTAAATAAAAAAGTACCTTGGAAGATGTAAAATAAGTATTAAAGGGAGAGATTTAATCAAATTAATGAGATTGACCCTGACTCAAGGGAAATCATGGATAGTGACATAATCAGAGCAAATAAGATCAAGATATATTGCATATATGTATGCCATCACCAGAGCATAAATAAAATATTTAAAAGCTATTATGGTAGATGCAGTGGTAAAGAAGAGTTCATGGCAGGGAGAAGAGCCTTCTGAGCAGAGTCCACATTAGAAAGAAATAAAAGAAAGCCAGTAACCAAGCACACAGACCACCACACACAGATTCATGAGACTAAACAAAAGCTTGTGCAGCAGAACAGATGTTTCATGAGTGAAGGGAGAAGACACATAACATGGCAGAGAAATTTGAAGTGGAGATGAATTACTTATAAATGATGGGCTAGGCACATCAGATCCTATTCTTCCTTAGATGCCAGTGTCTAGGCTTTTCTTTGCATTTCAGCTTCACATTAAGGACATGTGTGAACTGCAGGCAAGAGGAAACTTCTACAGCATTAGGAATATTAAACTGGACAAATTGCAATGGATTTGTAAACTTGCTTGCAGGTTCTAAGACTGTAGATGGGGCCAAGGAAACAACTCAACCTAGAAGAGATCAAGCATCTGGCTAAATTTAGAAACCAAAGTTATGCTGTCCTTTAGCACCACAGAGAAACATGTTCTCAACAGGGAAATCTACACTGTGCTGGTAAGAATGAGGATAATTGGAGACAGTGATCCTTTACTGGTTGAAAAGATGAACCACTTTTGCATGTACTCAGTTCCTTCCCACCTCTGCTGATTTCCATGATTAGCAAAGCCTTCTACCATGATGACTTTTGAATAAGCTCTTCACATCCCCTTCATTTAAAGTACAAAAGTTGGTAATTTGTTACTATAGTCCCTAGGACAACTAATGGGAACTTGACTCAGAAAATGAAATAGGTTAAAGCTTCTCTGATTGTTTTAATTTCCTGGTTCCATTCTCCAGTGTCTCATGTGAAGAGATGTAACATATTACATTTTACCTTAGGAAGAAAGAACATAAATTTCTTTGTATGTCATGGAGCTCATGATGGCTTAGCAATACATATTAATGACTGTTGTGCCCAGGTCCTATAAATCTTTGTTGATTTTAATGTATCTACAGTACAGCCTACTACATGTGTACTTCTTGAATAACATGGAACAAACCTGTGCAAGTGTCAGTTACAATCAAGACACAGTATGATTATGAGTGTTTCCACTCAGTTACAGGGGCTGCTAATGCTCTGAATTCTAGGTGAGAAGGGGTAACTCTGGAGATTTATACAATCAAAGGAGGCATTGCTCATTGGTCTTCCACGAAACTCCTACAGGGATATTATTAATTGTGTGTGTGTGTGTGTGTGTGTGTGTGTGTGTGTGTGTGTGTGTTTGCACTTCATTTTCCAATCTAAGGAGCTAGATGTGGCATTCTGCTTTCCCCATCTCCATTGTCCCTGTTGTCATCTCTAGGAGACCATCACTGTCACATTTCAGACAAGTCAGGATATTAACAATTACTTTTACTGACACAAAAGAAACCAGGAAGTGTTCCAAAGGTTCTGATCCATGATGCATTCTGTTTGTCATCTTGGGTTGCCATCATGATTCAGTGGCAATAATTCTGGAACAAATGTTACTCTCAATCAGCAGTCTGGTGCCTGAAGCTGTTACAATTTTTACTCTCCCCAAAGCTATGATACCATCCTACAGTGATTCAAGTCAAAACACAAGCCCCTCAGGTAAGAAGAGTAAGGCTGAGTGCTCCAGCTATTCCTCTTGGCATTCTCACCTGATGACAATTCTCCTATGCAGGAAGGATTTTAAGAACACTTAGAAGATTTGGTTGAAAGGCCCCTAGAGACTGATGTTTCCCTAAATATGCATACCTAAACTCCAACCCACAATGATCATACATTATAATGTCTCTCATGATTCTATAAGAAGAGAAGCTTTTGCAATTGAAATATATGGGTGAATATGAGGTGTGATACATATAAGAAAACAAAAGACACCATATATATGGTAGTGAACATTTCAATACATGTATTGGGAGTTTGAGTAATACTTATGAATTTAATGACAAGCTTTTAGTATCTTGAACATTTCTATTTGAAACATGGGATTTTTTGATGCCATTCTGAACTCAGAGCTCTCTGTCTTGAAGGTACAGGCCTCCTAACCATGCTCTCTTTAAACCTCCTCAGGCACATTAGTATTGTTCCTGAGTATTTGCAAGAAAACACTAACTGTTATCTCTGTCATGGAATTATGGGAATGTTGATGCTCTTGAGCACATTTATATCAGGCATGTGCAACCTTTGAGGTGTCCTCAGCAATTTGCAGATTCATAAAAAGGGAAACTTCATAGGATCATAGAGCAATTGAAAATGAACAATTTTATTAACAATACAGGAATCTTAGGGGAAGTTAATGCATAGGTTGAGTATAGAGAAAATGAGGATATAATTCTCTTTTCTTTAATAGAGGAATGCCATACTATGATCTATGTTGTAATAATGCACCAATGCTATTATTCTGAATTAAATTGAATGACAAGAAAGATGCAATGCAATAGAACAGAAGTTCCTCTATGAAACTTCTTCAATAGATAATTCTAGGAGCTTCTGTTCATCACCTACAAGGAGGAGGTGTTGGTTGCTGAGAGAGCAAATGTGCATAATTTTCTACTTTGATTGATAGGGTTTGTTGAATGCACATATGTTAAGTAATATTTTGTTTCTTTTGTGACAAATAAAGTTTACCTGGTGATCAGAGGAAGAAGCTAGCCACTAGCTAACCATAGAAGCAAGACAGTGGTGGCACATACCTTTAATCTCAGTGCTTTGGAGGAGGAAGCAAGAATATCAGGAGTTCAAGACCACCCTGTGCTACATGAGATTGAACCAGTCTAAAAGAAAAACAGAGCCAGGCAGTGGTGGTGCATGCCTTTAATCCCAGAACTAGGGAAATGTAGACAGGAATATAAAGTGGGTGGAGACAGTATCTGCATTCCAGTTCACTCTGGAGTTTCATAGAGACAGGATGGTCCTGATTCAGTCTGAGGATTCATAAAGATTATGGATTACTTACCCACCCCCTCTTCAGTCTGAGATTTTGTAGAGGTAAGAAGTCTCTGGTGCCTGGCTGTTTTGCTTCTCTGATCTTTCAGCTTTCACCCTGGATATCTGACTCTGGGTTTTATTCAATAAGACTCATTAGGATCACTCATAACACATATCGTTTCTCCATGATGTATCTGATTGCAGTCATATGTGTGGTAGAGCATGTATAAGCATAACATAATAAACAGTAGCATTTCCATGGAGTGTTATTTTAAGGACGCTGTTCAATACACAGAGTCAGTTATTAGCTGAATTGCTTGACTACCCTTATTTTATTATATTTCTCTTGGTGGATTTGACTGCCATGAAGCCATAGTTTGGAATGATGTATCTGCTTGTTTGGAGACTGGTACGCATGCAGCCTGATGAAATTGTCATTCCTTTTACAGTTAGCTGTCTTCCTTTCTATGCTCTATTTGCAGATAAAGATATAAGCTCTTGGCTATAGGGTCATGTCTGTCTGCATGCTGCCTGCTTCTAACCATAGTCAGGGACCAAACTTCCAGAATTAAATTAAATGCTTTATTTTATAAATTGCCTTGGTTGTAGTATTTTTCACAGCAATAGAAAAGTAACTAAAACACTTGCCTTCCTAGTAAGGAGAGAAATGAATAAACACTTAATGGAGGAAAGCCTCCTCCTCTCCATGCATAAGATATGAGAGTTGATAAGGTATCTGAAGTCCCTATGATCAGAAAGCCTTACTTTCAGTGAAAAAAAAAGACTCTATATTCAGAAAATAACCTATTCACAGTATCAGTTTGTCAAAATACTAGTTCCTTAGGATTTTTAAATATTTAATATTTGCATAATTTTATTTTATGTGTATTCATGTTTTGCTTACATTTATAATTGTGTACCTTATGAGTGCAGTGACCTCAGAATCTAGAATAAAGGCTCAGCTAACCTGGAAGTGGAATTATAGACAGGTGACAGCAGTCATTTGGGTCGTGGAAAACAAACCTGGGTCCTTTGGGAGACAAGTCAGTGCTCCTAACCTATACTCTGATCATGGCAGAGGATGCCATGAAGCCATGGGTTGAGATGGCCTTATTGCTTTGTTTGGAGCCTGTACCCACAGGATTTGAATGGTATAACAAAATACTAATTTTCTAATTTTAATTGGATAATAATTTTTCTAATAACTTCTGCTTGGTATATGTTTGTGTAGGGGACAAGTGTGCCTGGTGTGTGTGTGTGTGTGTGTGTGTGTGTGTGTGTGTGTGTGTGTTTTCACATTCTGTTGTATAAATCTCAGCTGTCTCCATACGTGTAACTCACAAAAGTTAATATTTCATGTTAGTCAAGAGAACCAATCCCATGATTTTAATGTTAGAGCTAGGGAAGAGGACAGGGGTTTAGGACATAGAAAAGTTTACCTGGTCGCTATGCAAAAACACAACAAAGAGAAATATAGATATGCTCTCAGCAGCTGGAGATACCAAAAGGAGCAATTGGGGCAGCCTGGGCTCTTACTTCTGCTTCCCTTGGTAGTTTATGTCATGGCTTGAATCACTGTGGGTGGGGTACTTGAACTTTGTTGACAGTATTAAGGTGCAACATCTTCAGCCTGCAGGCTGCTGATCTTGAGAGAAAATTCTGTGTCAGATCCACTGCCACTGAATCTTGAAGGGAGTCCATCTGCCAAGCGGTTTGAACCATAGATCAGTTGCTTAGGAGGTTTCCTGTAGCTGGGGTTTTCTCCAGTCCTTCCCAGCTCCAACGGAACCCACAAATGCTTATAAAATAATCACTCAGAATCTCATATCACTTAACTGCTCGGCCATTAGCTCAGGCCTATCAATGTCTAGCTCATACACTTAAACTCAGCCCATTTATATTAATCTATACCGTGCCACATGGCTCTTGGCTTACCGGTAACTTACATCTTGCTACTCATCACAGTGACTGGCAGCATCTCCTGATTGAGCCTTCTTCCACCCAGCATTCTTCTCTCTCCTTATCCCGCCTACACTATCCTTCCTGCCTGGCTACTAGCTAATCAGCATTTTTATTTATCAATCATAGCAACATATATTCACAGCATACAGGACATCCAACAGCACTTCTCTGTGTTTCTTATTTAATAAGACCATTTTGAATTTCATCTACAGTTTCCCTGGTATATACTGATACCATGCTAAACTCCAACCAATGCTCTGACTTGCCAGACATGTGATGGTGACACTTTCTCCCAGAGATTTAGATAGGGAACCTGGAGACTGGGTCATCTGGATGTCACATTTGGCACCTGAGATTGGAAAATTGAAAGCAAATTAATTCTGTTTGATGAGGACTTTACACGTGACCAGGGAGTTCTGACACACTCAGGTGATTAAATTTCCAATGCTGTCTTCCTTACCTGTAAGCCAGAGCATCAACAACCCCAGGAGCTGAGTGGCAGCCCTCATGTCTGTGCTGTGCCTGTCTGAGGCTGACTCCAGCACAGGGTGTGACCTGACTATGAAGAAGTCCTCAGGGCAGTGGGCTGTGCTCTGGGAACATGCAAATCAGCAATGGCTGTGCACAGCTGCAGGACTGACCCAGTGATTCATTAAAGGGCTGTGGTCTTCCTGTGTGACAGATTAGAGAGGCAGTGCAGGTTTATTTGTAGGAATGTGCTCTCATTGGACAACAAGAACAACACCAGTCTATGAGTTGCACCTTATTTTGATTTTTGTCATGTTCAATGTAGAATTCCCTTTTTATGTTTTCCTCTAGAGCCTATCAGATATGGTACCATTCGAGAAAGTACATAAATGGTCACAGGTCCATTTATAGGTAGGTGCAGATGTAATTGAAGTCATGCAGCCATGCAGTTTCATGCCTCGTTCCTGTTTGTTAGATTATAGTTTAATTACAGTATTTCTCCCTTCAAACCTTCCCAAATATGCCCCCCTCCTTCAAATTCTTGGCATCTTTTTTTCATTGTTAGTGCATGAATGCATGTATATGTAGATACATATATCCTAAATATCATTGAGTTCATATAATGTGTTACTTGTATGTATGTTTTTAGGGGTTTTTAGGGCTGACCATCTGACACTGGACAATCATTGTACTTTTCTCTGAGTACCTCTACCACTCACACCTTTCCTCAGTTGTCTGTATTATTTTGTGCAGAATGGAGGCTTTGTGGGTTTCACATGTTTCTTGGTGTCCTCATTGCTCAGCTCACATAGTGCCTGTAATGTTGGTTTACAGTTAGAACTTCTGATGTTACTAGGAGACACGATCTCACAGCTGATTCCCTGGTCCTATTGTTCTCACATTCTTTTCACTGCCTTTTCCAAAATGTTCCCTGAGTTTAGCTAGAGAGCATTTTGTACATGTATCCATTAGAATTGAGATCTATAACTCACTATGCAGTTTCTTGTTCTAGATGATTCCCAGAAAGGTAGCAGAATAATACTGCTAGACATGGCTTTTAAGGAAGGACAAGATCTCACATAACTAAACCAGCTTTCCGGGTAAACATTCTTGTCTTACTCTACTTTTCATAGCTCAGTTATTCAAGAACTACTTCCATCAAGGCCAGACAAGTTCAAGGGTTTTGTCCTTTTCCGTTTGTGCATATGAGCTTCCTTCCTAAATTAAACTAGGTTTATATCTATGCCCAATGTTCCTTTGAGGCTTCAAATTGCAGTACTGGATATCTATCCCATTTTCAGCACAGCTTTGTGGTGGTATTGTGTTTCCCAAAATATTGTGCACCCTAATAAACTTATCTGGGGCCAGAAACAGAACAGCTACTAGATACAAAGGCTAGAGAATGGTGGCACTCACACCTTTAATCCTAGTTTTCCAGAGGCAGAAATCTATCAGGACCTCTGTGAGTTCAAGGCCACATTGGAAACAGCCAGACGTGGTGACACATGCCTTTAATCCCAAGAAGTGAGCCTTTAATCCCAGGGAGTGGTGGTAGAAAGCAGAAAATTATATAAGGCATGAAGACCAGGAACTAGAAGCATTTGGCTGGTTAAGCTTTTAGGTTTTGAGCAGCACAGTTCAGCTAAGAGCCATTCAGATATAAGGACACAGAGGCTTCCAGTCTGAGGAAACAAGATCAGCTGAGAAGTTGGCCAGGTGAGGTTAGCTGTGGCTTGTTCTGTCTCTCTGATCTTCCAGTGTTCACCCAAATACCTGGCTCAGGGTTGGTTGGGTTTATTAAAAGACTCTTAAATATTCGTGCTGCACAGCTTGTTGTCTGTATTGAATATTAATTTTTCTCTCAGTGAAAATGCTTTTCATTTAGATACTCTGCTAAACATTACTTTGTGAGGGGTACAACAAGCTGTCTAAAGACTCTATGAACAGGAAGCCTTACTTTCAGTAAATAATGGACTCTAAATTCTGAGAAATTCTGTTCCCAGTAGCAGTTTGTCAGAATACTAGTTCCTTAGGATTTTAAAGTGTATAGGATCTACTTAATTTTATTTTGTGTGCATTCCTGTTTTGTGGGCCATGTGAGTTTGATGACCTCAGCACACAGAAGAGAGGCACAGCTATCCTGGAAATGGAGTTACAGAGAGTTGATAGCAGTCCTGTGGGTTCTAGGAATCAAACCCAGATCCTCGGAAAGACAAGCCTATGCTCTTAACCACGGCTCTGCCTATGGTAGAGGTTGCTATGAAGCAATGGGTTTGAAATGACCTTATTGCTTTATTTGGATCTTGTACACACAGGGATTTATTATAAGATACTAATTTTCTTATTTTAAATGAATAATAATTTTTCTATACCTTGTGCTTGGTATGTTTGTGTAGGGATATGAATGCACCTGGTATTTGTGTGTGTGGATGTGTGTATTTGTATGTTTAATTCTCCATGGAATATAAATCTCATCAGTAGCCTTATCTGCTACCCAGGAAAAGGTAAGATTTCCTGTGAGTAAAGAGACCTATTCCCCTGATTAAAATGTTAGTGTTCAGGGAAGAGGGTAAATATTTAGAACATTAACAAATGCATTTGGTCCCTATACAAAAACATCTCATTGAAATTTAAATACTGGTGAAGAGAAAAGAGAAACACTCCCAGAACCTGAGGACACCAGAAGAAGCAATTTGGGCTGCCTGGTCTCTCACTTCTGCTTCTCTGGGTGGTTTATGTTATGGCTTGAATCACTGTGGGAGGGGTACTGTAACCCTGTTGACAGAAATAATCTGCCACATCTTCAGGCTCTAGACTATTGATGTTGAGAGAAAACTGTGTGCCAGATTTACTGCCACTGAACCTCGATGGGACCCCATTTGCCAAGCGATTTCCAGCATAGACCAGTTGCTTAGGAGGTTTCCCTGGTTTCTGCTGATGCCATGCTAAACCCCAGCCAAAGTCCTCACTTGCCAGGCATGTGATGGTGACACTGTCTCCCAGAGATGCAGATAGAGAGGTTGGAGACTGGGTCATCTGGATGTCACATCTGGCACCTGAGATTGGAAAATTGAAAACAAATTAATTCTTTTAGAAGAGGACTTTGCCAGAGACCAGGCAGCACTGACCACCGACAGCTGAAAAAATTTCTAATGGTGTTTTCCTTACCTGTAAGACAGAGCAGCAGCAAACCCAGAAGCTGAGTGGGGACCCTCATGTCTGTTTTGTGACCTGTGTGAGTCTGACACCAGCACAGGGTGTGACCTGACGATGAAGACCTCAGGGCAGTGGGTGTCTGAGCACATGCAAATCAGCACTGGCTGAGCACAGCCACAGGATCAGTCAAGTGACACACTGTAGACCTGTGGTCCTCCTCTGTCCCAGATCAGAGAGGCAGTACAGGTTTATTTGCAGCAATGTGCTCCTCTTTGAACAACAAGAACCGCACCTGTCTATGAGTTCCACCTTTTTTTGATTTCTGTCATTTTCAATGTGGAATCCTCATATTACATTTTCCTCCATGGCAGGCCCTGTCAGATGTGGTACCATTCTAGAAAGTACACAAATGGTTATATGTCTTTTAAAAGGTAGGTGCAGATGTTACTGAGGCTGTGCATTTCTTCCCTTTCCACCTTGTTTATTTGTTAGATTGTAATTTCATTACAATGTTTCTCCCATTTTCTCTTTCTACAGCCTCCAAAATATCCCTCCCCACTCATCTTCAAATTTCTGGCCTGTTATTCCATTGATAGCACATGAATATATGTATTTGGAGGTACCTATATATTTCTAAACATAAACTATTGAGTTTATATAATGTGTTACTTTTATGTATGTCTTTAGGGATGATCATTTGACACTGGAAAATCAGTGTGCTCTTCTGAGTTCCTCTACCATTCCCAGCTTCACTTAGTTGTCTATAGTATTTTGGGTAGAACTGAGGCTTTGGGGCCTTTACATTGACCTTTTCACATGTTTGTTTGTGTCCAATTTGTTCAGCTACCATTTGTTCAGTAATGTTGATGAGCTTTTGCAGGTAGAGCTTCTGATGTTACTGGGAGACACAATTTCACAGTAAACTCCCTGAACCTTAGGCTCTTACAATCTTTCCACTACCTTTCCAAAATGTTCCATAGCCTTAGCTATGTGAGCATTTTGTACATGTATCCATTAGGATTTATCTCCAAAACACACTATGTAGCTCCTTGCTCATGATAAGTCACAGAAGAATAATAGAATAATACTTAGAGACATGACTTTTAGGGAAGGACAGGATCTCACATAACTAAACCAGCTTTTCAGATAAATAATCTTGTCTTATTCTGTTTTCCATAGCTCAGTTAATCAATAAATACTTACTTCAAGGACAAATGAATTCATGGGTTTTCTGCCCTTCCAAAGGGGGATATGAGTGCCCTTTTAAATTATGCTGGGATTGTATCTGTGCCCTATCTTCCTTTGAGTCTTCATATTATAGCACCAGATCCGCTTTAAACATGTTATTATTATCTTTAAGGAATATGAGTTTTCTCCTTTAAGCAATCATGTCCTTTAATACAGTGTTTCCTAAACTTGCATATGCTTTGGGAATCATATCTATTCAAGATACTAAAAGTATATATATACACAACATACATATATGTATGTTGTGTGTATATATACATATATGTATATATACATGTATGTATGTGTGTATATATATATATGTGTGTATATATAATGAGTTTAGTTTGAGTAAGAGGGGCACAGATGTGTGTTGAAAGAAGAAAGGGAAAAGGTTTCAATAGAAGCTAAACATGGGGAGTTAAATACAAAGTAGTGTCTAGAGCTGTGCTCATTGAGAGTAAAGATATGGTGAACATAGTATTAGTTTATGTGAGCATAGTATTAGTTTATGTGAGTATTTAAATAGAAAGAATTTTAGACGTGCAGGCAAACACTCTGTAGGAAACAGTGATAGGGAACAATGAGAAAGACATCGACTCAGGGAATGAAAATGATGATGGTCACAGGAGAAGTGCCAGATTGAATGGGTAGGTGAATATGCTAAGTAACTGGCTGACCTGAAAATCAATGACACAGGTGACTTTGACATTTGTAACCATAGTGTTTGTGTTGAGGGACATAACAAAGTATCTGCAACACAGATAAAATTATGTTCCCTGACATAATT